ATTCATAAGAAGCATTTGAATGTAAAAATTAAGTTTTATGATGTTTTATTCTTTGTATTTAGAAAACCCGGTAAAACTCAGTTGTCAGCTAATGTTGGAGTACGTTTTTTTTCGGTATAAGTCCTCTCGGTGTGAGGAAGAAGTTTCCCCGACCTTCATAATACCTTCTCCAGAATTTTTGACGTCATGGCAGGGGGGAGATTAGTTTATTTGAAACTTTATATGGAGCTAAGACCCATCAGCATCAAAAATCGTTCCTAGGAAATTACCATATATAAGACGCTCTGTCAAAAAAAGACACAATATGATTTTAACATATTTTATATTTTTTCTGTTGAAAAATAAACAAAATTTGTTTTAAAAATTCCTCAATCACTTAAATCTTTTTTATTTGATTTTTTTTCTGTGTACTATATTCTCCTTATCATGCATGGGTAATTTCCAAGAGACGATTTTTGAACCCCCCCACCCCACCCAGACCTATCAATTTTGTAAATGAATCTCATGGATATGATTGGTAATGTGTCCGCAGCGCCCGGCCCTCTATCCTGTCCTAGCCGCAGCGCTCGGCCCCCTAGCCTGTCCTAACCGCAGCGCATGGCCTCCTAACCTATCCTAGCCGCAGCGCTCGGCCCTCTAGACTGTCCTGCCGCAGCGCTCAGCCCAGAAATTGAAGTAACCTAACCTAACCATAATATAATAAAAAAATGATAATAATCTTGCAGAAAAATAAGTGGTCATGTACAAAATTCATAGGAGGAGGGGCCCAAAANTACGATTTTTGACCCCCCCCAGGCCCCCCCCTCCTATCAATTTTGTACATGGATCTTAAATGTAAAGGGATTATTTTTACCTAACCCGTGGCCGCAGCGCTCGGCCCCCTAGCCCATCCTAGCCGCAGCGCTCGGCCCAGAAAGTGTCTTAACCTAACCTAACCGTAAATAATGCTGGGGGGGGGTCCAAAAATCGTTCACTAGGACAGACCCACGAACACTGATGCATCTATTCTTGTTTGCAAATTCCGCCCAAAGATCTGGTTTCAATATGTACGTAAAGTATACGCAACTGCAATTTACTTTCCTTGCATTATAACCTTGTCTATGACAAACCCCATGCATGAGACTATGAATATGTCACACTGTTATATATATTTATTTGACGAAACTTCTTTAATCTAAAATCAATTCTAAAGATCTTATGTTTGAAATTTTCTAGAGTACAAAATAAATCTTCAAGTACTAATAAAAACAGTTTATAGTTTCCTATGATTTATGAATTATTTTGTGTATTTTAATGTTCTTAAACACGATAAGAAAAATATAAAAATCCCTGAAGGAAGATGTAATGGTCATCTGTCTGTATGAGTTCCATTGCTGTACTGTTGTTGTGTTTGAATGACATGTCTGTGACTATCTTCTCTACCTGTCCGCTGCAGTAGAGACCGGCGGAAACTTAGTCCGATGCAGGTAGAGAGTCCGGCGGATATTAGAGTTATATCATATGACCTACGTTATTTGTTAAATTTTATTTATTGGTTATGAACAATTTTACATAGTACTAAATTTCAGGTCACATCCTTACTTATTAATGCACAAGATTAAATTCTGAAGTGATAACTAGCGCTGAAGCTAGATATTGGGGGGTCTGAGAAGCTTTGTTGTCTACCAGAAGAAGAAGTTTGCAATGCATGGGTTCTCTGCTGATCACCTAAAGGGGAACGGACGACCCTCTGTTCCAGGAAGAAAGATTGCCTAGGTGAAGAGACTGATGAACAATAAGGACCTATCAAACAAAAACCCGTGAAGAACACAAGATTTTTTGGTGTATTTCACACAAGTGACCCGTCAATATCCCGTGATAATTCACGTGTTGTTGAGGTGAATGTCGACGATTTGATCACGGGTCTAGGACCGAGTTTTTACACGGCAAACTTGAGTTTATTTCACGAGATGAACACGGGATTTTTACATGAGAAAATTATTTTTCTTCCATCATACCTAAATTAATTTCTTTTTAATACCGGGGAAAAGGGATATATAATTGATTTCTGATATACAAATATATTATAAAACATACTGTGTAAATGTATATAATTATTACAAAATGTTTAGAAACTAAACATTTTGGTTTAATTCTTTTACATAAAACATCTTGAACAGTAAACTTTAAACTTTTCTTATCACAAAGTGATTTTTCAAGTCTAAATAATGTTTAATCATGTTAAAGTGTTCATAATTATAAGAATGCTCCTTTCTTAATATATATAAAAGATCGATATTCCAAAAAGGGGTTTTTGAGAAATACAAAACAAAATTCAATGTAAAACTTTTTTATACTCTGCTCATACTTGTTATGATTTGAAAAATTTATGTCAGTTCAAATATCTCATTTTACTACAATAAACTTTTAGTTTCTAAAAGATGAGCAGAGACACCAAGTGTTGTGATTTTGCAACTCTATGAATAATGAAAACTGATGATATCTCAAATATTTTACGCGTGATATTTACAAGAATTAAAATCTAGATATTCTGGCATTACATTACTCATGATTAACACGTTGGAAATATGCGAGAGCTTGCACTGGTATCTTTGCTACGAGCACAGCATGTGAAAAAACGACAAGAATTGAACTATAGAATTATCTCAAATATATTACACATGATAATTACGACAATTAAAATCTAAAAATTCTGGCCTTGCATTACTCGAGTTTAACAGGATTGAAATATGCAAGATCTTGCACTGGTTTATTTTGCTACGTGTACAACATGTGAAATAACGACGAGAATTTTCAAAGAATATTTTCGTGTTTTTTACCCGTGCTGTACACAGGAGGAATCTTCAAGATTGTGAAAAGTAGATTTACCACGAGTATAACACAAGGAGGGGCTGTGAATTAATCACGTGAATTATCAACCAGTTCTCCATCATGCTAATCTCGTTGAAAACCTGTGTTTTGTTTGTTGGGGAACGCAGGAGCACCCGGTCTGTTTCAAACATCAGTTGTAAGAATCATGAAAAAATATGGATATAAGGCATACCACAAGAATAAGGTACAGAAAATGTCAGATGAGCATAAGGAGAGGCGTGTGGAGTGTGCAAGGATGTTCCTTAGTGTTTATGGGAGAAGAGTGAGGAATGACAGAAAGTGGGGAAAGATCATCAATACTGATTTCAGTGCCAAAATCACTAGTTATGGCCAATATAAAATGTTTGGAGCATTCTTAAGGGAAAGGTTGCTGAAAAAGAATGCTCTAATGACCAACAGCTGAAGAAAGCCATCATTGCAGCATGGAGAGAGATTGACGATGATAAGGCTCTATGTAGACATTTGATGGCATCTCTGCCCCACCGACTTCAAGCTGTTATAGACAAAGAAGGTCGTCAAATCCAGAAGGAAGACTACTAAAAGTTTCCAAATACTCAAATATATATGTAACCACTAAAATATATCCAATAAAACTGTTTGAATCATAATGCGTTAAACAATTAGAGCATAATTTTTATTATGTGTGGTTTTTTTAGGTTCACCCTTTATTATAGATAGGATTTAATTTAGGGATATAGTATAGCTAACTCGTCAAATAATGTCATTATGATGACTCAAAACATTTGAAATGACTTCAAACAAACATTGACATTGAAATAGGTTTGTTTTTACGTTAATTTGATGTCTTTTTGTGATGTCAAAATGACACTAAACACTGTAAAAAGATGTTAATTTGATGTTAATTTAATATCATTTGTCTTGCTGTGGGGGGCGTCCCCCCCCCCCCGTAAAACTTGGGGGAAGTCCCCTTCCTGAAAAGTTGGGACGAGTTCCTTCACTTGGAAAAATGTAGGGCAATTATTAAAGAGGGGGCAACTTCAAGTCCTTTTTAATTGATTTTTAACAATGGATTTTGAAAATGTAGCCTGCCGCATTGTCTGTGTATACAAAACTTCCTCTCAAAATTTTTGCAATCTGCTAATTCTTTTGTTAAGGCTTTCAAAAAAGTTATATTCCAACAGCATGGAGATTGGAGGTCTGATTCAGTAAGAATTATAATTATTTACGTGATAACCAGAAAACTCTGGAATAGGAGGACAACTTTAGCCGGGAGGAAGGCCAGCCACAACAATTTTTTGTCCAAGTCAACTTCTCCTCTTTTTCTTGTCCGAGCCTTCTCAGAATCCTCATCCTTCGATTATTATATATGTGTGTTAAAGTTTTTAATTCTCGACGAAGATAAAACTATTTTTTTACATCTGTCCACTATAGGACATAAAATATAGATAGACTGAAGTTTCGCAATAATTACATCATTTTGGAATCTTCAAACCCATGAAAATGATGTCAAACTTTATATATGGTAAACTTAAATCTCTTCTGCCTCTGTTATGGCTTAAACCTTTGCGATATAAAGTAGCAAAATAGTTGGCATACCTCTGCCTATCATTTTCCCTATTGAAGCACCCAGAAAAATTCTATGGTTTTCACTATAAATAACAAAAAAGATTGAAGTTCTGAACTCAAGAATTATTAGCAGCATTCTGCACCAGGAATATCTGAAAATGCGCAAAAGAAAGCTGAACATTTTTTAGGACATTATAAGCTTGAAAACTCTAATTCAAATGAAATATTTTTTTCAGTTAAGAAAAATTCAGTATTTCAATTATGCCCCAACATGGCCTGTTTCTTAAAAAAATAATTGATCCGAGAGAATTAGATACTTAAAAAGATAGTTTGGGGTTAGATTAGTTAATACAATTTTTTTATCAAGTGCCGTGGCCAGAACATTCACTTTGACTTTCTGTTACAATTACAAACAAGCTCTATTAAGGATGCAAAGGATGCAAATTTTGAGATGGCTCGGACAAGAAAATGAGGAGAATGTGGCTCGGACTAGAAATTGTTGTGATTGGCGAGATTGGCCTTCCTCCGGAGCATCGGTACAATGATAAGTCACATTACTGATGTCGTCTTTTTATTGGCTCTAACTTCATTGAATACTTCGCGGCAATTGCACAATTTTGCGCTTCACTTTTTTTAACTGCAATAAACATGCGAAAACGTTTAATTTAGTTGGTGGAAATTTGTTATAGTTTTGCTGCTGTCGTCATCTAGGTTAGTCAGTCCTTATATTGAAACAAGCTCGACACTTACAATTTTTTTATCTGTACAGAAATGTCGAAAGAACTCAGCGACGACGCTTCGATAGCGTTCTTACGACCTTCGACCATCGAACGTCTATCAGTTCAACTTAACCCTGAAAAGCTCTTGCTTACTGACAACAAAATTCTGAGGTAAACATTCATTACAAGGGCCCGTCCTAGTCAATATACCTCCCCTCTCCTCCTATCAATTAAGTACAAGACCCTGGTTTCAAATATTTTTTAAACACGAATTATTGATATTTATTTTATACTAATTTTGACTTAGATTATTTAATACAATTTTTTGGTCGAGGTCGTGGCCAGAACATCAACTTTGACTTTCTTTTACAATTAAGCTCTTTTTAAAATAATTGTTGGGGGGGGGGGGTTGTTAAACCCATTTAAAGATTCAAAATGTTATATTTTCGTTTGGTTTTCAAACAAAATTATTCAAGATGTTTATATATGTTTAGATGGGTTTCTAGGTTTTAAAATCTGCAGTTTTTATTTTGAATCTGAATGTTTAGAGATTGGCGTGGAGTCTACGAATGTTCTTGTATCAATGATCGCCATGTATTTGATCAAATCAAATATTCGTCTGATCCTTTCAAACACCTTCTTGATCACTGGAAACATTTCGAGAACGCGACGGTGAAAAACCTCTTCTTATTTTTATCTGAAATGGACAGGTATTTGACATTACATCAGAATAATGAGATTTTTTTTATGGATTTTTCTTCCTTACTTGGTGCGACCGCTGTGATACAATGCCTAGCTTTATTCGTTAAATCCCTTTATTTTGTATACTTGCTAAAACTTGCTTAGATAATATCTTTCTGTATGGTCCATTTTTAAAATTAGAAGAAAAAAGGCCATTTTCTTGCTCTTCTGTGAGGTTGAGAAGTCCACAAGCTATGGGTTACTCTTGCAAATAATTGATGGAGAACTCTTTACAATAACAGTGTCATTAAGTCAATTAAAAATAGTTGATGATCGGTTAATTGAATACAATTTTTTTTCTAGTTGTGGTTGGGGTGACAAATTTTTAAGAAGATTATTTTGTAGCTAAGATCTTATTTAGCAATCAAGATCACTGCTTAGCACTTATTATTTGTTAACAGATCTCTATATTCAAATCAATTACTCTATATATATGGAGGGTTAAAATGAGCCTAGATATTAAATGAAAAATGAAATCTTATTTATTTATTTATCTGATCAGATTTGATGTGATCGATGATAATAAAGAAAGAATTGCCGAGGATATTAAATTTGCTGATAAACTTCTCAGACAAAAGGTGATAACTTTTTATTTATAGACTAATTGTGTTAAACTTATCCCCCCTCCCCCATCCCCAATACAAAATTTGCCATAATGAAAATTCTGAAATGTTCATGTTTTAAGACTCTCAACGTAATTCCATTATCCCTTAAGTGATTTATTGATAATTTGTATATAAATGTTTAGGGATTTAGTGTTGGTATGATAGAAAATGAGCTTGCTGGATCAGAGAAGGTTTTAACCTACGACGATATTGCTTGCTTGAAGAGAGGGAAGAACTTGGCCAGGTATGATTTTAAATGTCTGATAAACTTTTTCATTTCATTTATGTAAATTTTCAGAAACCCTTTTTGGACATGTTCTCAATATATATTTGAAAAATAAAACAATTAAAATGTGGATAAGAGCCAGGCTTGGTTTGAGTTAAATCTATTCCATTATCTTGTTGTAAAGGAAAAGAGGGGCGCGGTATTTTGTTTTCAGTTAAGTTTTGATCTTATTTCTCATATATTCAGATACGATGTGTTGATTCTACATGCAGCTGAGGACTCAGAATTCACCCAGCTAATGGTTCAGGAGTTAGAAAACCAGAAGATATCAGTCTGTCTCAGGGATAGAGATCTAGTAGGTAAACCTGTCTCAGGGATAGAGATCTAGTAGGTAAACCAGTCTCAGGGATAGAGATCTAGTAGGTAAACCTGTCTCAGGGATAGAGATCCAGTAGGTAAACCTGTCTCAAGGATAGAGATAGTAGGTAAACCTGTCTCAGGGATAGAGATCTAGTAGGTAAACCAGTCTCAGGGATAGAGATCTAGTAGGTAAACCTGTCTCAGGGATAGAGATCCAGTAGGTAAACCTGTCTCAAGGATAGAGATCTAGTAGGTAAACCTGTCTCAGGGATAGAGATCCAGTAGGTAAACTAGACTCAAGGATTGAGATCTAGTAGGTAAACCTGTCTCAGGGATAGAGATCTAGTAGATAAACTAGTCTCAGGGGTAGAGATCTAGTAGGTAAACTAGTCTCAGGGATAGAGATCTAGTAGGTAAACTAGACTCAAGGATAGAGATCTAGTAGGTAAACTAGACTCAGGGATAGAGATCTAGTAGGTAAACTAGACTCAGGGATAGAGATCTAGTAGGTAAACTAGACTCAGGGATAGAGATCTAGTAGGTAAACTAGACTCAAGGATAGAGATCTAGTAGGAAAACATGTATCAGAGATGTAACCAACAACCTATTACTAAACTATTCATTTCATTTCATAGTTGAATTACTTGCTATTACTAATACTAAACTATTCTAGTTGGTACGGTTTTATTATTTGCTATTACTAAACTATTCTAGTTGGTACAGTTGTATTACAATCTATTACTGAACTATTCTAGTTGGTACAGTTGAATTACAAGCTATTACTAATACTAAACTATTCTAGTTGGTACAGTTGAATTACAAGCTATTACTAATACTAAACTATTCTAGTTGGCACAGTTGAATTACAAGCTATTACTAAGCTGATCTCGGAACGATGCAGCAAGGTCGCAGTTATACTTTCACCAAACTTTTTTAGCAGGTTCATTTTAAGGTTTAATAAACGTTTTCATTCTGTTCTTTCGCTAATGTAGCTACATGACTAAAAACCGTGAAGCATCCAAAAACTACTAGTTTCAAAAGCTAAGTAAAACAAAATTGGATAACAAAATGTTATTAACAAAACTTCTTTAACGGTTGGCCTATTGATTGATTGATAGATTTATTTAGTGCTGAGAACGCGTTCTACTCGAGTTTAGCGCAAACTGATGCAATCCAGACAAACCAGCGCAGCTTTCTTCCAATCATTTACAAGCCGGTCAAACTACCCTCTAGTATAGACTCATTAACTAAGCTTAGGAACATACTGAGTACAATACTCTAAATTAAACATTTTAACTTGAAACAAAAAAGTCACTGTCGTAATTTCAATTGCCAGTCTTTTTTTTTTTTAAGGGTTAGTCCGATTTACAACGGTACCCTTGAAACCTTTATTCGATGTTTTTCCAGCTTGCAAAGTCGCTGATTATGATAATTCATACATCGTTTCATGCTGTAAAATTGTGGAACCAGGAAAATAATCAGTTTTCAAAATTAAAATCATCTATATATAAATTTGGCTTGTCTGTTTGTTTGTTTGTTTGTCTGTCTGTCTGTTTGTATCCAATAAACGTCAAAACGGCTGAACCGATCGGGCCCAATGGGGGGGGGATGGTTTAAAGAGGAATAGGTAAAATGTATGAACATGAGGAGAATTCAAATTCTTTTTAAGTGCACCACTCGGTTCTTACTTACATGGAGTAAAGAATGGTCTCTTTCCCTTCAGTCAAAGTCTATGGAGGGATAAATAGTAAATCAGTAAAGATTTATTTAATCTACGAATATTTTCTCTATTAACTTTATTCCTTATGTATTCATGTTGCCAGGGTTCACGGGAATCCATATTTCTGGACTAAACTCTGCCGGAACATTAAGGAGGACTGGACGGAGAACAGGAACCATCCTCTCCCTCCTCCTATACAGGATACCATCACAACTTCACAACCACAACCCTTCAGTTCTAATCCCATCACAAGAAGTAATTCACCCGCCGCTACAAGTAGTACATCAGCCGTTAATAGTAGTTATTTACCCGCCACTTCTAGTACACAATCCCCAGCGGTAAAAAGCGGTTTTAGAAACAATTTAAAAACTAATTTCCTCCCGAGCACCGGTAAACTGAAGACGGGAGGAGGGTTCCTGAACAAAATGTTGAAACCTGTTCGAAATCTAGTGTCTGGTGGTCGGGAGCGTCCTGCAGTCACGGAGTTTAGTAATGTTCTGTTCTCCGAGCAGAGTGAAGGAAGCATTGTTCGATTAATAGATTCAGCTCCAGGCAGGAATTATTATTCTTTTTTACACAATTAAGCTCAGTGAAAAGAAAAATTTGAAAAAGAAATATTGAAAAATTCACCAAGAGGAAGCTCTTTTATAGTTTTTATGAAGTTCAATAATGCGAATAATATGCGGGGGTACGGGGAGGGGGGCAAGGAAAATACACCCCTGAATTTGTCTATCTCAAAATAACATCAGTCAAAATAAAGAAAAAGAGAATTTTTTGACAAATGAACTGAGTCTTCACCACAAAATCAAATCTTCTAATCTCTATATTGTTGCAACCTGATAGTGTAAACCTTTGATATTTCAAACTTCTGTTATTTGATGTAATTGAATTTATAGTTAGAAATATCTAAGGTCTCCGACTTTGGGTTCCGAAGATATAGGGATTAGAAAATCAGAATTTTTGGCAAAGATTTAACTCTATTTCAAAGAATATCCTGCTCAGATGTTCCCTTGAATGAGCCTGGGAAAGAGGAAGGAAGTGCAAAGTTGAAGAATAGAAGAAAAAGCAAACATGAAGCATATCAACAGATAGCATAGAGTCAAATAAACTCAGGGTACAGGGTACAGGATAATAATGATGTTGATAATCAATAAACCTTCATTCCGTAGAAATCTAGGCCGAGCATTAAATAAAAAAACGCCCAAGGACAGACTGCAGAGTGTGTAAGAAGAAGTAAAAACAAACCATTGAATCAACATAAAGGACTAGGCGATGAACTTGTAATAACTGCAGCCTCATATGGGTTATTGGGGACTGTAGATGACTACCAAAAGACAATAAAACAAAAAATATTAAAAAGACAAATTAACTCTGTCGATTTGCGTGAATTTCCCACCTTTTTCTAAAGATCTTAAATATATGCCTGATATAAGTGCCTAACCTTACATATTTAACACAGTATCTTTTGTTAAAAACAAGACGACTCAAAAGCACAAGCTACTATGAAAAGAATGTTGTCTCACAAATAAGTGTTATAGAATTATTTCTCAGCTGACAAACCCTTTGTAATTTATAATATTTAACGCAAAGTGACAAATTATATCACTCCTTAGTTTCCCACATTTTTTACTTCTGCCTAAAAAAAAAATATGTTCAGTCGATTTGCGGTAATATCTTCTGCTGAAGATCTTAAATATATGTCGGATAAAATGCCTAATTCAAAACTATATTTTTTGTTACAAACACGACGACTCAAAAGGAAACAAATTTGCCTCTAAGTGATACTTCTACGATTTGTTTAGCTTTTTATGATGAGATTGTGACATGGTCATAAGGCGCCCCTAAAAGTCCAATCGATTGGTTGATTGATTAAAGAATCATAGCTTTAACTGACAAAACCATCATGATTTATAATGCACAATTAAATGCATCGGTTTGTTTTATTTTTGTCTGGGTGTAATTGTTAAATTATTCTTTTATATCTTATCTAAGTTATTGCAAAAATTTACGTCATGTACCAACTCTACCAACTTAATTTATTTTCAAATCTGTGATAAAATTACATTCTTTGCACAAAACACAAATTTTATTTTAATATCTGAAACTGAAATCGTTTCTTTTTCAGAAAAATGTTGCTGTTAGCGCGCCGGTTGAGCGAGCTAGGGCCGTTAGTTTCCGCTAGTACACAACAATCTGTTAGAATACTAAATAGAACATTCAGTGACAAACCTGAAGTTCCAAATACGACCGGAAACTTGGACACATCCGGCGCTACGGACAAACCGGAATATGTAGCGAAGACAAATGTGAATAAAACAGAGAAAGAAATTCTTAAGATTGTGAATGAAAGTAATGAAGTATCAATGAATAAAAGACACGACAATAAACTATTTTTTACAAATGAAGAGAAGGCAATAATGAGGAATCCTGAGCAACGGATCCCTTACACAGTTGAGAAAGAACCAGGTACAGATAATATTTTCATTCATCTTACTTGTTCAAGCATTCTGACCGATGATATTAAAATGCTGTCGTTGTCGGAGGTAATTACGTTAACATATAAGATGCAAACCTGCCAACACTCAAATCGGCCAGTGTGATGTAATAATTGAGTAGGTTCGATGAAGTATGTGGGTCCATGCATGGATTAAACTTTGCTGGTGACAAAAAAAACTTCACTAATCTCCATGTCTATATTTGCTACAATGGCTACAACAACATTTTCATTCCGGGGGTTTATATCATATCAAAATATATATTAAATTTTTAGAATCGCCCTTCTCTCCATTTCTAATTTTTTTGCTGTAACTTCTGTAAAAATAAACCAATAATATGAAAAAGTCCCTTATATTTACCCATTTTATTTTTAAATCATTACCTTCTTCATTCTCTTGTGAGGCATAAGGGTAGATATTTTTGGACACACTTTTTTCTATGTTAATAGTTTAAATATGACATTGTGACAGTATAATTTTTTGTCTGTAGGAGTATTTTGCTACGAGAATACGGTTCGACCTCTTGTCACCTTTCCCGATCCAACCTTGGTGAATTTAGGTAAGCACACTCTTGTTTAATGTTTGATTCATCAGTCCAATTTTCCATTTGTAAATTTTTGTAGAGTTTAATGTATTCAATCAAGGTTTACCTATGTACATTGTACAATACAAAGTACACCTCACAACATTATTCGATAAAGAGGATAAATACTTTTGCGCTTTAAAAAAATTTCACTTACTGTAGCTTGTTTCGCTTCCTATTAAATATACCACACAGAGAAATAGCCATTCGTCATACTTATTTTACACATTAAAAATCATAACTTATTTATATTTATATATCTAAATGTATCATATTCTAGTGGGTTAAATAATATTTTATTTACTGAAGAAAGTCACGAGGATGTTCGAGAGTATACACTTGGATTTCCTGTTATTCGTCCTCCTTCTATTGTTGAGAGGTGGAGGGAAGGAATCAGGTTGGTTGGGATAAATCTACTTTTTTTCAGAAATCATAAATCCCTTCATATCCATGTGGATTGTAGGTTTCCAGGGAAATTAACTTGCGTTTTTTGTAGAAAAAAAAATAAAAACTTGAAAAATTGCGAAAATTTTCTTTCTCTAGAAATTCCATACAACCATAACATGGGGGGTTCGACCAGTTAGTTTAGCACTGTGCTTGGGTGGGTGGCAGCAATCATGTCTGTGACTGAATTCCCAGCTCGATTAATTTGTTCCTGTCTTTTTTTTTTGGGGGGGGGGGATAGATCTTACTCCTTATATACCTTATTTGCACCGTAATCTCATAAAAATTGTAGAAGAGCGAACCAGAGACATGTTTAATAAGTTTATGTAATTTTTTACGCCCACCACCTACCTGAGAGGTTGGGGGGGCATCTTTTGCATGCCGATTTTTTTGTGCAACCCCTAGAAGACGTTGTGCCCTCCCTAAAAATCTCTATTTTGAAAAAGAGATTGATAAGTTTTTTATATATATTAAATAACCTTAAATCTTTCATACTTATTAATCAGACTTTGCTAGGTTTAGAACATATATTTGTTACTATTAAATAACCTTAAATCTTTCATACTTATTAATCAGACTTTGCTAGGTTTAGAACATATATTTGTTACTATTAAATAACCTTAAATCTTTCATACTTATTAATCAGACTTTGCTAGGTTTAGAACATATATTTGTTACTATTAAATAACCTTAAATCTTTCATACTTATTAATCAGACTTTGCTAGGTTTAGAACATATATTTGTTACTATTAAATAACCTTAAATCTTTCATACTTATTAATCAGACTTTGCTAGGTTTAGAACATATATTTGTNCCCCCTCCCTTCCCTTTTATAGGTTTGTTTGTGAACCCAAAAAATGTTCAGGGTTTTATATAATTGTGTAAAAAACATTTATAAGAATGAAAAAACTTGCATTTTAATGCCAAATTTTATTTTCTTTCCCCACATCATATAAAATAATTTCATAAATGTGTGAGGCAAACCTATGCGTGACCCCGTCGGGGCACATGTACCAAGTGCTCCTCCCCTCGTACGCCCCTGAGTATCCTATATTTAGGTTAACAAAGTCTACTCCTGAAGAGTATCCCTGGATCCAGGAGTTTAAATCTCAATACGATTATCTAATTGTCGGAGGAGGGATTGTGGGATCCTGTATAGCAAACGCATTGGCGGAGAGAATAAAGGTTGGATTTCATTTCATGTTTCTGAGCTTCTCCCCATCTCCCACTCTTTAAAATATTTTTTCACAAATAGTTTAATTTTTATTCATGGTTTTATTCACGGCTCGCTTATAGATGTTCTTATAGATATTCTATCTATCGATCTTTACTATTCTGGACGTACATGTAATTTTCTTGGTGTGCTTCACAGCTGATATAGCTGAGTGGACCCTAGATTTTTTTGGGAAATTTTTTGAAATTCTGCGTGGGTATCTAAGGTTTCAATCTTTTTCTTTCTACCGTTCATTCTGTAAAAATTATTTGTACTTATAAAAAAAATTTGAAGTGAAGTTCAAGGTCCAAATAGGAGAAGAGCTTTGGTAGATTGTGGGCGCTTGATTAAGCAGAAATGAGATACTGAAGCGAAAATCTTGCAAACATAACTTTGCCTCCCAAGAGTTGGTTAGCATCAAATGGATCTTGTTTTGAGATTTCCAAAATGTGGTCATGTTTTTGGACCTCAAGAATTGACTGAGATATTGAGAAATTTGTCCTAAATTCAAAGTATAAAATATTAAGAAGGTTGCTCAATTCTTTAATATCTACGACAATTTTTATGAAGAAAGAGACTAAATTTTACAAAGTTTTAAAGACTTACAATGTTTTTCTTTACTCCTTTGACAACTATTAACTTTACGAAAACCAAAGATAAATTGTAAGTCCAGGGTTCAATCTCTAACGTACTGGATGACACCCCAGCCATAAAATTACATCAAACCTTCTCCATTCTATTACACATCCATGGTTTTATGTACTTAAATGGGAAAAATAAATGATTTTTAGGTAGAAAGTAACAAAAACGAAGAAGAAATTGCCTTTTTGAGGTTCAATTTTTCATTTTATTCTTCTGTGGGGGTGGGATACCCCTGGTGCCCCCCCCCCACTATTTCCATAGGATTATTTTTATTCGATTTTTGAAGGAAAAAGTTTTTTTTCTTAAAAATATGTATATTTTAGTTTCTTATTTTAGTTTACAAAGAAAAATACAAGAAAGAAGTTTATACAAATGTAATTTTTTCCATTTTTAATTTGTTTTTATTCTACCTCTAGTGTGGAGACGGGTTCAGAGTTGGTGTTATAGAAAAAGATCCGACCTACAGGTAAAATTCAAAACGAAAAACCGTTTTTTATGTTTTTTTTTTGAATAGAATTTTATATTTATTTGTGAAGTTTTAAATCATAATTCAATATCTTTACTTGACCAAAACAAGAACATTGACGCATCCGGTTTTAGACTAATTGTTATTAATGCTTACTACCATTTCCCCCCGTATTTCATTAAGAGTGCTGAATATTGTAAAATAAAGGTTGAAATCATTAAGAAAATGATTTCTTAACCTTTTTTTTTTGGGGGGGGGGGTCCCTTGAATTACTTATTAAATAAGTTATTGCTGAAAAAGTCCCTACATTTACTGATTAAATAAGTTATTGTTGAAAAGGTCCCTGGAATTACTGACAAAAAAGTTAGTGTTGAAAAGGTCCTAGAATTACTGATTAAATAAGTTACTGTTTAAAAGGCCCTGAAATTACTGCTTAAATAAGCTATTGTTGAAAAGGTCCCTGGAATTACTGATTGAATAAGTTATTGTTGAAAAGGTCCTGGAATTACTGGTTAAGTAAATTATGGTTGAAAAGATCTTAGAATTGCTGATTAAATAAGTTATTTTTGAAAAGGTCCCTGGAATTACTGATTAAATAAGTTATTTTTTAAAAGGTCCTGGAATCACTTCTTAAAAAATCATTGTAAAGGGGGTCCCTAGAATCAATTCTTAATAGATTATCGTTAAGGAGGTCCCTGGAATCACTTCTTAATAAAATTATTGTTTATAAGGTCCCTGGAATCACTTCTTAATGAATTATTGTTTAGGAGGTCCCTAGAATCACTTACTTAATAAGTAATTGTTCAGGAGGTCCTGGAATAACTTCTTAATAAATATTGTTTAGGAGGTCCCTGGAATGTTCAATACTCCAAATGTCAAATTTCAACCTCATGGGAACCTCACTCTAGTCACAGAGGAATTCATAACATTTTATAAATTATACTTTTATCAAAGTTTTTCTTAAAAAAAAGGTGGATGAGACCTATGATTAATGAAAATTATCTGGCAAACATTAATTTTAATTTGAAACTTACTGCCTTGTTAGAACCCCGTGGATTTCTACAGAACAGTCGGAAAATCTAAGATATGTCTCATTCTTAAAAGAAAAGCAACGCGCTAACAGTGAAGTATTATCGGACTAAGTTTAACAGTAGTTGATTATTTTCATTGAAAGAGTTGCGTTGACATCTTTTATTGGATGGATTGAATGATTGATTGATTGGTTAATCCTCAGGAACTCATCTAGAGTTATTATGAGGATGGTTTTGTTCAGTAAAGAGTAGCTTATTGTTCTTTCTGGTTTATTTATTTTCTTAGTTTTGAATATCTCTTACAGCAGCTCACGGATTCTTTCTATAATTTCTTTTCGACTATGATTGATCATGGTAAACCAAGTTGCTGGATTTACATCACTGAAACGTTGAAGCATTTTGAACATTTGTAAATGTCAGAACGTTCTCTTCTTTCCTTCAGCGATTGATTGATAGATGGATTGATTGATTGATGTATTAATTGATTGATGATTGATTGATTGATTGATTGATTGATTGATTGATTGATTGATTGATTGATTGATTGATTGATTGATTGATTGGGTTAATGTTGGAATGTGGCCAGGAAAATATAGTAAGTCTAGAAGGGGCACACAAAACCCAGGGAATGTGTGGAGCACACACAGCCATCCTAACCAAGGTAAATATTTAGAGTTGTTTTTTACATAAGCCAGCTTAAGACAAAAACAGAATCTGTTTGAGGGGGGGGGGGGGGGGAGTTGGACAAACTAGATAATATTATGACTATTTTTCCACTTTGTAGAATGGTTTTGTTTTAAGATTAGGGGAAAATGATAAAGAAATAAATATTTTAAACAATTTAACATAGTGGGGGGAAAACAAGATATTTTTAATTAATTTTTACGACGTGTCCTTAAATTTGGGTTAATCAACATGGAGCACCCTGAATATACGTCGTGCGATGTCTCAAGAGTCAAGAAGAAAGAAATTAATATTTTTATTTTATTTTTACTTTTGTTAATTTCAGAAACAGTTGGAGCAACGGTTTCCTTGGCTTAATACTAATGGGTTGGGAGGAGGTTTGTTTTGAAACGTTGTTCTAATCAATAAACCATCTCTTTTACTGATTTTACATTTTTTCTATTTGTCAAAATATCACTATAGAAAAATTAATGAATTGATTTAATCTTTTTTTCTGGTATAGGGTTTTTTTGTGGTATAGGGATCTTTTTTTCTTGTATAGGGATCTTTTTTTCTGGTATTGGGATCTTTTTTTTCTGGTATAGGGATCTTTTTTTTGCTTCGTGTCAAAATCTGTTTTTTATATTTTTTTCTGTTAATTAAGATGACATTTTTTATTGACATATTTTTATAGTAAGTAAAAAAATAAATCACCCTTTTATGGTTCAAACGATGTTGAATTAAAAAAAAATATGAATAGTAAAATTTAAAAAAAAATTTATTTTGATGACAAATTTTTGCCTTACTTTACCTGCAATCGTGAATCTTAACTGTATTAGGTAGATTTTTAAATGTATAAAATCAGTCCCACAAAAAATTATGTTTATCAAGTAAAAAAAAAAAAATATATATATATATATATATAAAGTAATCATTGTTTGTCTGTTTTACGAGGCTTGTTTGTCCGATCACGAACCACGAGTCAAATTTTTAATAGGTGAACCCGATTGAACCTCGGGAATGTTTTAGTTTACTTTAATATTATAGTATATTGACATAAATAGAAAAAACTTTTTTTTCCAGAGAAAGCTGGGTTTCCAATTCTGTTTAGATATATTATTTGTTGTTTAGGTTGCCTGGGTTTAGAGGGCGAGGGCTGGTTTGATACCTGGAATATGCTGCAGAGTATTATTCTTAGAAATAAATATTTAGGTAAACATGTTTTCTTTTTAAGATGATAACTTTGTTCTGGAGATTGAGATCGCAACCATTCTTAACTTTTTATGTACTGACTAATAACTATATTTGTGCCTTTTTTCTTTGGTAAACGAAATAAATCTAAAATAATAATATTATACAGTAATATTTCCCGGCAGACAAGGATATCCAAATCATATTGGAATATTCCTCAAGCGCTGAACACCTTAACATTTTAAGATTCTTGATCTATAACAACTCTTTAAAATGAGTTTATTGGCACAAACTTTTAGATACATACTAACGAGATAAAATAGTAACAACGAGTNAACTAACCCATCTTGGTCTGAAAGACAAGACCTATTATTAAAACTAAAGTGGCTAGACTTTTAAGCATTTAAAAACTTATCGACAATTCTGTTTTAAGACATGTACGATAGTAGAAAATTAGATTCAATTTCAAGAATATAAAATAGGCTTCAGAAAGGTTTACATCAAAATCTTAGATTGGTAGTTTGAATGGTAAGATAGATAATGGTAGATTCAATGTATTTGTAGAGATTTGCAGGATTAGTTGCTTGAAGATAGGGGTTCTCTGTTGGACAAGCTGGAGAACTTCTCGACTTTGAACACCCTGAACACACATTAGTTTATAAAGATCCACAGATCTTACAGCGACCCACTGCCCCCTCCCTCCTCCGTCAAACTTTAATCCTCCTTGAGTAAAATTTTTTCAAAGTTTTGCAAAAATAAAAAATGGGTTTTGTTTCAGGAGTTGATTATATACATGGAGAAGTTATGTACGTGAAACGGCATGCTATACATAAGGTTGAAGGGGATGATTACAGACCATTCGAAACACATGTTTTTATACCAAATAGTAAAAAGGTTTGTTTCTGCTTCTTGTATATATTGTAATTGGCTGTTACCTTTCATTTATACAATTTACAACAACAGAGCCCATCTTCGGTTCTTTTTTCTAAAAGTAAGCCTTTTTTCAGTTATTGTTTCGCTAATATAAGGTCTTTCAAAATTGAGGGCGTAAACTCGTGCCCAATTTTCAATTATTTTTAGCTGAGAGTTAGTCAGAATGGAAGAAATATACAATTTTAAAATATTATTAGTATCACTGTAATTATTTAAAAAATCATAAATATTATCAAAGTTTTTATGCAAACAAGTTATCAGACAGACAAACAGAGATTACTTAAATTTTATTATTTAGGTTTACCCCATAGAGTTTAGTAAACTGGTTGTAGCAGCAGCGGGACAGTCAGGAACTTTCATCAAATTCAAGATAGCANCGTTGAAAATAATTTTTCACCAGAAGATTTTTTTTATGGGTTTACTCGCTGAATAAGGGAAAATTAATGTGTACAGGGTAAACTAAAAGAAGATTTCTATAATAAAAATGAAAAATAAGACCAGAGCATCACCCCACTCCCCCGGAGCCGTAATTTAAAAAAAAGAAATGGTTATTTTGTAAAAATGTGTGAAAATTTAAACTACTTAACTCTGCTTAACTTCTAATTACAGAATTTAGTATTAAAATAAAACTAACGCTCGAAGTTAGACTGAAATCAGTGGAGGGTAAGGGAAAGGGAAACTTTATAAATCTTGAATTTGACATAGATGTTCTGCAGGAAATATTGGTCGTATGGCAGGAATAGGACAAGGCAAAGGACCTCTATATATGGACATTCCCGTTGAACCAAGGTACACAAACACTGGTTTAAAGTCGGGATATCAAAATTACTTAATAATTAAAAATCCTGCCTCAATCCTTCACTAGAGGTTCAGGTTTAAACCACTGTATTCAGGCGAGGATATATATTTGAGATTAAATGTTCTTGTGTTTAGGCGAGGATATATATTTGAGATTAAATGTTCTGGAGGTCCGGGATTAAACTCTCCTCTAATCTCTGATCCTAGTGGATTATTTATCCGACGGAACGGATTAATCGGACACTATCTAGTCGGTAAACTACCAGACCCAGAGGAGGTAGAAAGCACATTTTTAATCGATTTATCGATTTGTAGAATCACAACTTCATTTTTAAAAAATTCTTTGCAAAAAAATAGTCGAAACAAATAAAAATTGTCTTGTTTGGCTTATCGCCATAAGACAGACTTAAAACAAAAGTGTGATAATATATAATTGCTGTCCAATCCTAAAATTTCATTAAAATCGGTCTGACGAGGGAAGGAAGGCCAGCCAAAACAATTCCTCGTCCGAGCCACCTCGAAATCCTCGTCCTTTGATAATTATGTGTTTTAAAGTTTCAAATTCTTGAGGATAAAACTATTTTTTTTAAAAATATGGCCACGTTAGGGCAATTGAGAGATATATTCATAAGAATCCCCAACATTTTGGTGAAAAATCTACGCTCTAATTCTATTTCCTTGAGTGTGATTTTATGAAATTTTAGGATTTAATTACCAAATCTGTTTTTTTATTTATGCATTGATTAATTTGTAAGAAATGATTTTGTTTGTTTGTTTTAATTCAACGAAATGATTGATTGATTGATTGAAGTCGTTGTGAAATTATTTGGTTTTATTTTGTTTATTCGATTGATTGATGTATTGATTGATTAATTGATTGGTTGACTAATTGGTTGATTGATTAATTGGTTGGTTGATTGATTGATTGGACGGAAACTAATTTCCAGTTGATAATCGACACAAGTATAGTGTGTGTTGTGTACATAGCAAGGTCTATGCAAATAATTGCGTCACTACAGTGAGTGATTGATTGATTGATTGACTAATTGAGTTTGGAGACTCGGTTAATTAGTTAATTGATTGATTGAATGATCGTCTTTTTAGATTTTAAATTTTAATTAATTTCCTGCCTTATTAATTGATCGATTTCATCTTGTTTAGCCTCCTATTCCTGAGAATATGTTTGGTGATGTGGATCCAGAATATTTTGAGGAAACCATCCTTCCACTTCTTCAATATAGAATACCAGGTAGGGTCAGGTTTATACATTCAGTTCAAGGGACTGTTCAGTGTTTACGCCATGTAAAAAAGTTATATTTCCGATTCATAACAGGACACTTCAAACCAAAATTGATGGATTTGTTCTTCTTTCGATTGCTTTTCTCCTTAAATGAAATAAGATTTATGCAGCAAGGAAATTAGCAATTTACCTTAGTAAAACAACGATATCGTTTAATGTTACTCAGATAAAGAATAGTAGAGTATTATTTTTAAATCGAGATATTTTAAAGGAGAGTCACATGAAATTATGATGACAGCCTCTTTAAGCATTATTGTCTTAAAATGATCAATGGTAATTCCTATGTTTTAGGCGTATCATTACCTGAAATATTAATTTATTTGCTGGCCAAGTATAAAATGGATGTAATCGTAACCTGACTGTGGTTGCAACAGACTTTGTATTAATTTGTAGCAAACAAAAAATAAATTTAGAAATTCAAAAACTTACTTCTTTAAATAAATGACTACAACTGTAAGCAAATATGTATTCTCTCCAGTTTCCAGTCTACCAGACCCTAGGCGCATTTATTAACGGGAAATTGGTGTTTCTGAAAAATATTTTTCTCTAGGATTTTCCGATTATACACTTATCGACAGTCGACCTGTGGATTTCGACCTAAATTATTTCGACGGAACCCCTATTGTTGGCTTACACCCCATCCTCGACAACATATTTATGGCAACTGGATTTAACGGCCGGGGACCTACGTACGGCCCTGCTGTCGGCCGTGGAATTGCCGAGCTCTTGCTGGACGATGGATACCAGACGATAGATTTTAGCAGGTAGCACCCCCCGCCCAAATGTTTTCAAGGTTATATATTTTCTAGGAAAATTTTTTTAAATATTTTTTTGAAAAATTTTGTTTTACCAAAAATTAATTTGATTTGATGGTATGCTTGTGCGGAGTCCAAAAATTTATTAAGTGTTTTCTCGCTGAATTAAGGAAAATAATTAAAATTTGTGTAAAAAGTATCAAAAAAAAAGCCAAACAAACTTTCCCCCAGAACTTTAAAAATCATTCCCTCAGGGGGGGGGGGGGTTCTTAACAATATTATGTTTTTGCTTTAAAATTAATATTTTAATCAATAATTTATTTTCTAATTTTTTAATATTTCAGGTTCAGTTTTGACAGATTTTTGAACAAAGTTGAGCTGAAGGAGGAGATTTATGCGTAATATTTAAAAAAAAATTTAACCATTTCAGATAAAAATGCGCAAATTAATTCCTTCCCCTTGTCCCGAGTACCCAGACGCAGAGGAGGATATAGTTAAGCTTCAGGTAGAAAACATCTAGTTCGGGGGTATTGTAAGTTGGAGTAGGTTTTATTTACAAGATTTTATAACAATTTGAATTTCATATTGTGTGATATATTGTTTTAGTCAAATGTTCTAAAAACTTGTTTTTAGTTTTTCATGATCAATTGTCAGTAAATTTTGATTTGTTATGTAACTTGATATCTTCCTTAATCCAATTTGTATAATTTCCAATATCAAGAAGTGCCACCCCCCATTGATAAAGATGGGACAAATGATTTTATGAACTGAATAAAAATGTTATACCAGGAGTTAGAACAAAGTGTGCAGTCCCTTGAAGATGAAAAAGAAAGATTAAATAAGATCACACCAGAGCAATTAGATAATTTACAGCCAAGGTAATCATCACGTTTTCGTACTTCTTGTTTATTATTTTAATCAATTAAGATTTATGTAAATATCTATATTCATAAAAACTAGAATTAAGGAACAGAACCCCGGAAAACTCAAAATATCTGTCAAAAGATTACGAAGAAAACTTGTGTCTTGATCACGTTATAGGGATTTATTTACCCAACTAAGTAGAAACATTCATTCCTCCGATAAGGATAGATCAAGAAAGCTGCGCATTCATTACTTAATAGCAAAAGATCTCGCTGAATTTCTATGACATCCTTGATCAGTAAGATAGTTTTTGTTTTATAAAATTTACTTTTTTTTAAAGCTGAAATTTCCATTAAAAACTCTTTATCAGACCCAGATGGAACTTACTTCGATGAAATTATTTATTTATGATTTCGTTTTTAGGTTTAAAGCTGGTGTTCTTGAGAAGATTAAAATATGTGAAAGATGTTTATTGAACTCTTCAAAGTAAGATTTTTTTCAACAATCCATGAGGATTCTCATCTATCCTTGCGATACCCACTAAGGGAGTGTTCGCGAAAAATCAAATGAGAGAATTGAATTTGGAATCAAATTTTATCAATCTTATTTTAATCTTATGTTTAGATAATGCGAAAATCCAGTAAATCCACGATTTGGAATATCTTATTTAAAATACAAATCAATTAATTAAATTTGAACTGAGTATTTAATTTTTGCCATTTAACATTCCAATTTTATTTTGATATGATAGTTGTTCTTTTAGAGGATAATAATATGGCCGCTAGATGTCTCCCGTTAGAATTTCTAGGAAATACTGGATTTTACTAGATTCTCCGCTGTAAGCGACAAAAGTTTTTTACAATCTTCTCATTAATTATACTTAAGATGAAAAAATACTGATACCATTCGACTCCTTATTTAATTCAGATCCAATCTATACATGAGACATTACATTGGTCCTACAAAGAATTTGTCTCCTAGCCTATTCTAGCCGCAGCTCTCGGCCCAGAATTTTTTTATCCTAACCTAACCAAAAATAAGGTTATAGACAACATATTATTTAACATTCAAGATGTTGTAGCGCTCGGCTCCCTCGCTCTCCGTAGGACAATTGATTTGTATGACGAATGATTGTAGGACATATGACATAGCGGCCCCTTTCATTTTAGCGAGCACTCCCTTTTAGAAAATGAAATAAACTGTTTTTAAATGAGAAAGCCAGAATCCATCTTTTTTATTTGATTTGACTAAGCCGACGTTATAAAACAATTAAATTTAAATGTTCACATTTTTTCTATGAATAAGATAAGCATCTCTTTTATTCTTAGGATTATAGATCAATAATTCATTTCTAAAAATGTGCCCTGTACATTTTCATAATATTTTACTATTATCACGATGGCGGCCGGGGGATTCCACATGATCAATACTTAATTTAATTCTATTTATTAGCAACTAAAACGTGGCAAAATTTCATGATATTAAATGAAATCATGAAATTAAGAAAAGCACGAAGCTGATTATCAATCATCAGTTTTCAGATTTTTACCGTTGTTTTCGTCTACTATTTCTCCATCCTAGATGAGATCTGTAAAGTTTGATTTTACGAGATAATTAGATCCAACTCTCCAACTTGTTAAATACATCGTCATATGTTACCACTTAAAATAAGTTGTATTTTTCAGGATTCTTGAAGATTTTAAAAGTTTTCTTGTCCATGAAAAATACAAACAGTGGAATTCGATAAAGGTTAGTACAGTTCTTTACACGGTGTTAGGACATGGTCATAATTTCTTTGAAAATCAGTCTCAGCGTTGTGAAATCATATATTTTGTAAAAAAAAAAGCTTTTTAATTTATGAAAAAATAATTAATATTTTAACTGAAACTAGTTCTGACTTTTGTTTTTGGTTTAATGTAAATCCAAAGCGGATGGGCACAACTCTGAACATGTCCTAACGCCTAATTAAACTTATCCTTAGATAACATTATTTAATTAACCTTTACTTGACTTTAGTGTGTAAAATTTAGTTATCACAATGTTACAATATTTCAACAACTATTATTTAGTGTTCAACGGAACTAAACCAAGCTGAAGATTCTAGAACTGTCTTGCAAACATTAATCTTAACAGATCCAAATTCTTTGCATGGAGTCACTTCTTCCATAACAAGCATAGACACTCCCCCCAAACCTGTTGCAGACATTCCCTCCAAACCTGCAACTGAAAATACCTCCAAACCTGCAGCAGATATTCCCTCCAAACTTGCAGCTAAAATTGACTCCAAACCTTCAACTGAAAATCCCCCCTCCAAACCTGCAGCAGATATTCCCTCCAAACCTGTAACAGATATTTCCCCCAAACCTGTAACAGACATTCCCTCCAAACCTAGCAAAGACATTTCCTCCAAACCTGCAGCAGACATTCCCTCCAAACCTGCAGCAGATGTTCCTTCCAAACCTGCAGCAGACATTCCCTCCAAACCTGCAGTAGACATTCCTTCCAAACCTGCAGCAGATGTTCCCTCCAAACCTAGCAAAGACACTCCCTCCAAACCTGCAGCAGATGTTCCTTCCAAACCTGCAGCAGACATTCCCTCCAAACCTGCAGCAGATGTTCCTTCCAAACCTGCAGCAGACATTCCCTCCAAACCTGCAGTAGACATTCCCTCCAAACCTGCAGTAGATATTCCCTCCAAACCTAGCAAAGATACTCCCTCCAAACCTGCAGCAGACATTCCCTCCAAACCTGCAGCAGACATTCCTTCCAAACCTGTAGCAGACATTACCTCCAAACCTGCCGCAGATATTCCCTCTAAACCAATAGCAATTATAAGCATAGACACACCCTTAACACCAAGCATCACCACTCCCTCTCTGCCAAGGGCAGAGTCTGCAGTAGGAGTAGGAGTAGAAACTTCCATCATTGAATCAAGACCTACTGTTACTATTGTTACAACTGTTACACTAGAAAAAGAGTCAGATCTTCAACTTAATACGGAAAACCTTTCAAATATCAACCCTAAGGAATCAATGAACCCAATACCCTGTTCTAGTTCTAGATCATTACTTGATAAACCTACAAACCTCCAGCTTCTGACATCAGAGGAACCAGGAACCAGAGTTCCGGATACTAGAGATGAAGGTAGACTTTTTTTTAGATTTGTCCACATGCTTCTTTTTTTACAGATGTGGCTTTTGCAATGTGAGCATTTTGCATTCCTGCTACTAAAAATTACGTAACATACAGTACCCTTTTTCACAAAAACTTTGCGGTAGGTAGGTATTTGAGAACAATTTTAGTTCAATTTTTACAATCAAAGTGTCATTCGAAATTTCTCACGTTACCCAAATCCCCCCACTGCAAAGTTTTTTTTTCAAGGGAAACCCTGTATAGTTAAAATTTTAATTGGCTTATTTGTCTATGTTTTTTGGCACTTATTAGCTAAAATTTTTTTACTGAAGCTTCTTTCAAGTTTTAAGATTTCGAATATAAGAAGAAAATTGTTAATAAGTTTATTTTTATTTTCCCAAATACACAACACACACAATTATTAAGGTGGCTTTCAGCAAAGTAAGGGAATTAAAAGAAAACTGTACATTGAAGAATCACACAATGAATAGTAAGAGGAAATCATAAAACTCTAAATTTTAAAAAATCCTTAAATTTGAAAATGAACACAAGTTAATCATATTCATTTTTAGTTTAGCAATTAAGAAGTCTAGACAAGAAGCAGCGCTTAGAAGTAGGTAGGAATATGTGAAGCAATTAATAAATCATTAAATAAGACTATATAAGTAATATATATCAGCCTAGATTCCTACGGAATGAAGGTTGATGTTTATTTATTTATTTATTTATTTATTTATTTATTTATTTATTTATTTATTATTTATTTATTTATTTATTTATTTATTTATTTATTTATTTAGTTATTTATTTATTGATTTATTGATTTATTGATTTATTGATTTATTGATTTATTGATTTATTGATTTATTGATTAATTGATTTATTGATTTATTGATTTATTGATTTATTGATTTATTGATTTATTGATTTATTGATTTATTGATTTATTGATTTATTTATTGATTTATTTACTTATTTGTCGGCCTCCAATCAATTTTTTTGAGATGATTGAACTACAGGGTTACCCATATAGGATGAGATTGTAAATACGACCTGAAACTCTTAAAATATGACGATTACATGGTTAAATTAAGTCTTCTGCCTTGAATATTGTATGTTAATGGCCTATTTACTGACATGACAACGAGAGAAACCAGTTTACAATTGCAGATAATTCTAACTGTAAGGAAATAGACAGTACAAATGCTGTACAGTCGTCTCTGAAGTCTCATAATTTTTGGATAACCCAGCAGTAGGTATAGCTTGCTAAACAAGTTTTTATTGCACTCCTGACCACAACAAATAAGTAGTTTAACTTTTTTAATTGTTGTACCTTGTCCTACTGCGTTTGCTTTTCATTTATCTATCTGTATCTAGATTGTCCTACTGCGTTTGCTTTTCATTTATCTATCTGTATCTTGATTGTCCTACTGCGTTTGCTTTTCATTTAGCTATCTGAATCTAGATTGTCCTACTGCGTTTGCTTTTCATTTATCTATCTGTTTCTAGATTGAAGAAGAAATCTGTTTTATCTAAAAGCTCCTGTCCTCAGAAATTCTTCCATCTCAAATGTCAGTTCTTTAATGCTGAACAATGCAATATATTTTGTAAGGTAAATGGATAGATAAGATGCAGTGGGTTTCCTACAATAAATATCAAATAGTTTGACCATTTGATTTTTTACTGGACATTACATAAGCCTTAAGAGTTTGTTAAAATTGTAACAAAAAAATGTGTTTGCTAATATGACAACGATCAGAATTTAACACTTAAAACCCCCAAAAAACGATATCATTTTCCACATTATTCGTTAGATAAAAGTTTTAAGGGTACCTTTGATAATCGGGTATTGCCATCTTTGCATGGAGGGTCACATGAAATTACGCTTACAGTCCCTTTAAAAGTTTGAATGTTAGGTTGACCGTGTGTACAGCAGCTGGTATGAGCTTCTCGGCCATATGTTTCTGTTCCATAGAACAGAGATCTTAAACAGAACTTTAAAGACGGAAAATAAGGTAAAACCAGACCATTTTCTTCATTGATTTATAGACTCGTATATTATGGTAAAAACAATGTGAAAACTTGGAAAAAGGTTTATCCCTTATATTTGATGGTGGAAAGCTTTGAAATTATAAACTTGGATTATTTAATATAAAAGAATTCACCAGGTTACTCCGAAATAGCGCTTAGAAAATTTGTTTCAAAATAGAACTTACGTTAAGTTTCGTTGTTGCTCATTTTTTTCAAACATCTTAAATTTTTTCGTTAAATTATAAGACAGTGCTAAAAATTTCCAGCAGGTTTGCTCCATATTGAAAACCCAAAAGATAAAAATAGGTTTTATAGTATTATTCCTTAATGAAAATCTGAATGCTCTTTAATTAAGATAGAACTGGTTTGCCCGTATAACCATCCTGTCTCAGGATTATACTGCGCTGCAGGATACAAGCTAGTCAGGTAAACTAGAAAAAGTTATATCTTATGTTTTAATTTTGCTTATCTGTCTGTCTGTCACATGACCCCAAAGAAGGTTTATGGATGTTTAAAGATGGAATATTTTGACCATAAAAAGAGTTCGACATTTTTTTTTTAAATGTGCAAATTTCAAACAGAAAATCCTCGAAGTACAATTTACAGAGAATTTGGCAGCTTGAGGTGCAATGTTGAACAGCTAAACTTGTTACTAGAAACCTAGTTTTTAATAAATCTTAATTTCATTTTTCTCGTTAAACTGTAAATGTAAATGTTGAATATTCTGTAGTAGATTGGATTGTCAATTGGCTTGGTTCGTTTTTTTAAAACTTCATTACAAAACTGTGTTAAACTTTAAAATAAAAGGTAAGGTAAAAAAGCAAACTTTTAGAGAGAAAAAAAACCGATTTTGAAAAATTGAGAACTTCTCAGATATAAAAAAGTTGTAGTAGAATTGTATGATTTAGCAGTATTCCCTTTGTAACTATTTTCAACTTGTAATACTCCGCCCCAAAGCCGGCATATGAACTCGAGGTGTAACCTTCAAACTTTAACAATTGTGTGTTCAGGAAGTTAGATGAAGAGGTGAAGGATGATGCAGGGTTTGATGTACACTTTGCTCTTGCTCTGTTTGATTTACAGAAACATATCGAGGGTTGGCATATTCCAGAGTACAGGTACAGTACAATATTTAGAGTATTAGAGTACTACTCAACTACTATTCGAGTACTATTCGACTACTTTTCGAGTACTATTCGAGTACTATTCGAATACTATTCGAGTACTATTCGAGTACTTTTCGAGTACTATTCGAGTACTATTCGAGTACATTTGAGTTCTATTCGAGTACTATTCGAGTACTATTCGAGTACTATTTGAGTACTATTTGAGTACTATTCGAGTACTTTTCGAGTACTATTCGAGTACTAAAAGAGTAATAAAAGAGTACTAAAAGAGTTCTAAAAGAGTACTAAAAAAGTACTAAAAGAGTACTAAAAGAGTACTAAAAGAGTACTAAAAGAGTACTAAAAGAGTATTAAAAGAGTACTAAAAGTGTACTATAAGTTACTTACTTGTTACTTGTGTGGTGGTTTGCAGGAGACCTCTAGGTCCATGGCGCAAACGTCTGCGGTGTCCTCTGGAAACTGCGTGACTTTTCGATAAGTTATTCATCTAGATTCCTCCAATTTAGTCTTGAAAATGGTGACATTCCTGGACTCCTTGACTTCAATTGGTAAGCTATTCCACAGGGAAACCACTCTGTCAGAAAAGAAATTCCGTCTAATATCTGTCTTAAACCTTGTTGCGATCAGGTTTTTATTGTAGGAAGTATTTCTCGTCAGTCTAGTGTGTTGGTTATCAACAGTACGAAACCAAATTGACGNTTCTGGTCACGTGATTTAAGTTTAAGATTTTCTAAATTTTACATATATGAACTTTCGTATGATTTTAACACAGTTTTATATCAATTTCTCGAGATAGTAAAATCAGATAAAACTTTCATGTGTCGCGATCAAGAGCTAAAGTGATTAGCTTTCAGCCTATACCCCCTTTCATTTTTCCTTTACTGTCCCTTTAATAAATCACCTTTGATGCCAAATGATTCCATCTTGGCCAATAATCTCCTGTGCGGAACTTGATCAAAAGCCTTGCTGAAATCAAGATACAGAATGTCTACAGGAATGCCATTATCAAAGAATTCAGTGATTTTTTCCAGAAACTCAAGGAGGTTGGTGGCACATGATTTTTTAGGCATGAAACCATGTTGTGAAGATTTAAGTAGATTGTGCCTCAGAAGATAGTCTAACATTTCGTCTTTCATAATAGATTCCATTATTTTACAGGGAATAGATGTTAATGAAACCGGCCTGTAGTTATCAGTGCTGTGTTTTGAACCCTTCTTGAATATAGGGGTCACGTTAGCATCTCGCCAATCTTGTGGCACAACTCCAGATTGCATGGATTTCGTGAAGATTAATGACAGTGGGAGGGACAAACTGTCGACATGATCGATTAAAAATCGTGAAGAAATTCTATCTGGTCCAGAACTATTGCTATATTTCAATTTTAAAATCTTCTTTTTTACAGTCTCAGTGTCAAAATAGGTGCCATAAATAGCAAGTCCAACTGGGGGATCAGGGCACTTAGGAATGTTAGTATAAGAGTACTATTAGACTACTGTTCGAGTTTTATTCGATTATTATAAGAGTACTATAAGGGTACTATAAGAGTACTATATGAGTACTATAAGAGTACTATTAGACTACTATTCGATTACTATTCGATTACTATTCGATTACTATAAGAGTACTTCAAAAGTACTATTTTAGTTTATGAATGAAGATTCATTTTAAAATTAAGAAAAATTATATTTGAGAGATATTCATATTTTCTAAAAATTCTTGAATCAAAAGGTTCCTTTTGTGTGAATATACAAAAGAAAGTATTCAGTAACCCTATAATTATTATTCTGCGTCTTGAATCGTAAATTAATTCAATGAAATTAATATTTGAAAAGAGTAAACACGAAATATTAAACAATTGGAAAGTAAATGAGAAATTTTTATTAAACATAATTTAATTATGATCCTATGGTAACCGACCTACAGGTGTTAGGTACTTTCCTAAAGTTATTTTTCCAAGTGCGACCTCACAAGGGACAATTTCCCCAAGTGGCAGACTCCCAAATGTACATTTAAGGTTAAGTTGTTAACCCTTCTGAGGCGCCGCAAGCTAAAATGGGGAAGTGGGGGGGGGGGAAACTTAAGAAAGAAAAAAAATACCATATCTTCCACATTTTTGATTAGATAAAGCTTTAAAGGGTACCGTTGTGCATCTGTAGTCCTGCATTGTCATTGGATGGTCACTTGAAATTACGCTTACAGTCTCTTAAAAAGTATTTTATTACTATGCGTCCTCACTTACTGTGCATTTTTAATTTTTTATTTGTAACGTTCTCTTCAATTTGAATCAGAACCTTGTACGTATACACTACACAATACATACAGTATTCAGTCCATAATTATACTTTACTATTTTAGAAATGAGAAGTGTCCAAGGTGTCATGTTTACCCTGTCATGAATGGAAATGTAAGAAAGGTAAATCCAGGGATAAAAAGTTCAAATTAAGAAATAAGGACGCATAGCTACTGGTTAGTTTTTAGTCCAAGGTTTTAAAGTACGCAAAGCTTCTCAAACTTGCGTCTGTAAACCTTGATTGAGATTAATGAATCAAAAGCTGTCCAACACTTTTCTAGAAATGCCCCCCGGGGGGAATGCTCAGGGAAAAAATTGAACATCAAAATGCAAGGTTTTTATCCTTCTTGCTCCTTTTTCTCAAAATTTCATTTATTTTCTACAATTCAGCGAACAAACCCCATGAAAGATCTATTTAACATCGGAAAAAAATATTTTAATATAACACTGTACAGTGCATACTATTTGGAGAATTTATTTTGACCTGTTTACTAGATGGAGTCCTGGCAGCTCATTAACTTCTGGAGTCATCAAGCTATTCATCTGCCAGAGTATCAGGCAGCTTATCTATTCATTCATTCATTCATTCATTCATTAAAACTTTTCCTTCATTAATTTATTTGCCATTCTATTAATTTATCCTTTTATTCATTGATCATTCTCCTCGTTTATTCATTCATTCATTCATTGATAATTCTTGCTCCAATTCATATATTTATTCATTTATCAATTCATTTTTAAATCTTCCATTAATCTTGTATTAGTTTGTAAATAAATTTGTATTAAAATTAATATTTGCACACATTCATTCTGAAGACATTATTCATTTATTATTCATCGATCTTTAGATATTTATTCCTTTTTTTAAAATTCATTAAGGATTTCTCATTTATCAATCATTTATATATTCATGAGTCATCCTCTTTCATTCATTTTCTGATATTCTTTTTTATGCCTGTTTTTAACATGGAATATATGGGTGATCACAAAATTTTTGACGTTTTGACCTCAGATTCTAATAATTAGATTATTAGATTTAATGCAAAGTACTCCAACTCATTATTTGATATTTAAACTAAATTTAGTTTTTAATTCGTTTATCCACAAACCTAACTTCACATTTATCCAATTATATTAATTTATATTTTTAACCTTTTAAACTGCTTTGTTTGGAATTCTGTAAAATTTGACAGTCATTGTTAAAATAAAAAATGAGTAAAAATACTTTTGATTTATTTTTACATATTTTCATATTTACATTCATGTCTTTAACGTACAATGGCGGTGTGGGGATTTCACTATTGGAGATCTGTTACGATTATATTTCAAATTTAATTCAGCAGGGGGATATACTTCTTAATAAAACATTGTTGGGTTGGTCGATTGGTTATTGCCTCACCTCTCTCAAAAGGTGAAAAAGTTTCTGAAAGAATGTACACGTATATTTAAATGGCCCTCCATTTTTAGAGTTGCATGCCCTATTCACAACGTACCCTCTTAAACCTTTATTAATTTAGGATCGCCCGGACTGGATAACCCTGTCAAGTCCCCCTGTATGCTCTCCTACTAGAGGACCTATAGGTAACTGATCAGGTTTTAATTAGTCGGAACTTTTTGTGTATTTAGATCAAGCATTGATACCCGTCCCATATTAGATAACGAGATCAAGGGTTCAAGATTTTCAATACTTCACACAAAAGTTCCGGCCTGAGATTAGATCAAAGCTGGGAGTTTGTATTAGATCTATGGCTAGGATTCCTAGACCTAGCTAGTTATTGTATCGCTCATCTAAACCTTAGTCGCCGTCATTGATAGATTTAAACTTAAAGATTCCTAATCTTAGAGTTAAGAAATCGTAAATGTTTTCCCTGCATATCCAGTTCTAATGCTTACTTCTTTGGCTTAGCCGATATGTAACTTAAAATATCTCAGCTTAGGTAAGGTCTGCTAAAAATACATAGTTTAAATTAGGTCAGATGTGATCAAATGGATGGGATGGGATGATTTGGTACGATTCGGTAGAGTTTGGTTCCGTATCGGATCGTACTGCTCTTTACTGTACTGCTCTGTACTTGACTGTTCTGTACTTGTACTGTACAGTACAGTACAGTACAGTACAGTACAGTACAGTACAGTACAGTACAGTACAGTACAGTACAGTACAGTACAGTACAGTACAGTACAGTACAGCACAGCTAAGCACAGCACAGCACAGCACAGCAAAGCACAGCACAGCACAGCACAGCACAGCACAGCACAGCACAGCACAGTACAGTACAGTACAAGTACAGAGCAGTACGATCCGATACGGAACCAAACTCAACCGAATCGTACCAAAACATCCCATCCATTTGATCACATCTAACCTAATTTTAAGATATTTAAAGTTACATATCCGGCTAAGCCTAAGAAGTAAGCATCAGGACTGGATATCCAGTGTACTGAACTGTACTGTACTGTACTGCACTGTACTGAACTGCACTGTACTGAACTGCACTGCACTGCTCTGTTGTTGTGCTGTAGCATACTGCCTTACTGTACTCAAGTGGATTGTANCTGTACTGTACTGTACTGTACTGTACTGTACTGTACTGTACTGTACTGTACTGTACTGTACTGTACTGTACTGTACTGTACTGTACTGTACTGTACTGTACTGTACTGTACTGTACTGTACTGTACTGTACTGTACTGTACTGTACTGTACTGTACTGTACTGTACTGTACTGTACTGTACTGTCTGTACTGTATTATATTGTATTTTACTCTTCTGTACTGTACTGTACTGTACTTAACTGTACTGTACTGTACTGTATTATATTGTATTTTACTCTTTCTGTACTGAACTGTACTGTACTGTACTGTACTGTACTGTACTGTACTGTACTGTACTGTACTGTACTGTACTGTACTGTACTGTACTGTACTGCACTGTATTGTATTGTACTGTACTGTACTGTACCTAACTGCACTGAAGTGTATTGTATTGTATTGTGTTCAGGATGTTGGTATGGATGCAATTTCTGCTTCTCCTCAGGACTTGACGCAGTGCTTCATTTGTATCAGGTAAAACAAATTTAAAATATCCTCGTTAGACTCTTATTAAAGGTTTATCTTGATTAATTATTGAGTAAATAGGGATTGGAAATATATGTACATTGTACATATATATAATTCTAGATTATTCTAGACTATTATTGTTCATCAAGATGAATTATTGAGTATAGAGGGCGTGGAATACATATAATCCTAGATTATTATTCTAGGTACATCTAGATGAATTATTGAGTATAGAGGGCGTGGAAAAGAAGAGAAAAATCTACTGTCCTTCTTTCTCCGGATGTAGGTTTAATCTAGAGTTCATGGACCGCAGAGGGAATGAGGAGGTAATGCACAATTTTCTTTTCCAAGATTTACAGAGGCACCCTATAATCCTTAATGTACGAAATATTAATAATTTTATTTGTATTTTAAAAGAATAACCTTTGAAGCATTAGATGAATTTTTAAATAACATAATTGCAAAATAAACTTGCCAAGCTTTGTCACAAAATCTAAATAAAAAATGAAGGATCTTCATTGTTATTTCTCGGGAAATATTTTAGGTACTGGTGGGAACTAATTTTTATATTTTTAATAAAACCCGGCGCTTTGTCTTGTACCCATTGAGAACAAACAACCTTTTAGGAAGAGAGGGTCCAGGTCGTTGGAGAGATAATATCATTAATATAATATGTAACAGGTTGTATTTTAATAATAATAATAATAATAATATAATCATTAGATGGTTGTTGGCAGTGCTCTAAGTAGTTTATACTCTCACTTGAATCTTCATCACTGTCTGGAGGAGACACGTCTGTTGATCTGTCCAACCTGTGGTCTAGATCTTGCAGCATATCAGAACTTACAAGTAATACATTTATATTCTTTTCAACAAATATTAAGCTAACAGGCCCAACTTTCTAGTTTTAATTTCACCTTTTTGTCGATCTGAATTCGAACCTTTTTTGGTGTATTTTAAAGTGTTAATAAATTTCACGGATTAAAAAATAGCAGATTTCATACATTTAAAAAAAATTGAAATAGTTATAAAGCTATTTTCTATTTCGATAAGCTCTTAAACTTCCCATAAGTTAATGTGAGGCGAGGTTCTATAAGTTCAGTCGTTTTGACGTTAAATAGATACTAACAAAGAGGCAAAATATATTAAAACACAAGTATCAATATTAAGGATTTTTCTTGGTTATTTAACAGATTAATTTTAATCATAAGAATTAATTTTATTCATTATTGTTAAATATTTCTAGATCTGGGATCATCTGTCACAGCATAATATTGTCAAACAAGCCTGGTGTTCTCATTGTTCCAGGTAAGGTAGTCTTGGTTTAGGTGTTCCAGGTAGGTTATTCTGTGTTTAGGTGTTCCAGGTAGGCTAGTCTTGCTTTAGGTGTTCTAGGTAGCTTATTCTGGGTTTAGGTGTTCCAGATAGTTTTTTCTTGGTTTAGGTGTTCCAGTTAGGATAGTCTTGATTTAGGTGTTCCAGGTAGGTTATTCTGGGTTTATGCGTTCCAGTAGTTAGGTTAGTCTAGAAGGGAGAGGCTGGGTTTAGATGTTCTGCAAAAGTTTTTAAAAAATTATATGCACATTTACGACCAAAAACTTAAATTAAGATACTAATGGTAATTATGATAATAAGTTTCTCTTGATCAGTACTTAGTTCAGTAATTTAAAAAATATATTGTTATTGAACATTATTGAATTTCTGATAATTTTGTGTGCATTAAATTTGGTTTAAAAAGTCGTACTTGGCCAAATTTCTGAAGAAAAAAAGTCAATTGGTGTGAAAAAAACGTGTAGGTTTTTAAAAGATTTATTTCTTCAAACTTTTACGCTTAGTCGCAAACATACGTGCTAAAATGTAACATAATACTAATAAATATGCATTTACTTTCAATATACTTCATTTACTTACTTTTTTATTGGAAAACACATCTTTTGGAATACTATTGATCCCACCCCAGCATACAGGTGGAGAGCTACAGGGTGTCCCACATCATATTAGACCGAGAACGGGTCTAAATTACAATTTTCGGGACTATAATCAGAAAAATTAATTAGAATTAATCATTTTGAAAAATATAAAAAGGCTTATATAAGAATTTTCTTGCGGAAAATGATACGTTTTTTGAGTATTAAGGGTTTATTTTGGTGTTAAAGATTGGAGATAAACTAATATGATATGGGACTCTCTGTAGCTTAAAACTGAGTTTTTAAATATTGACTATACCTTCTTTGTAAACAAAAATATAAAGATTTAACATCGTCTTCTCATACTTAATCAGAGCCAAACAACTCCTTGGTTGAAGACTGAAAGAGAAGAAAAAGTTAATAAGTTTAAATTTAGTTATATCAAATTACACGAGGAAAAAATAATAAAATATATATTGAACTTTTGATCTTTCTCAACTTAAAATTAAATTTAAATAAAATTTTAAATAAGAAAACAATAAAGAAAAGCCTTTCTTTTTATCTGCGTTTAAATTAGTAATTGAGTTGAACGTGATAAAAAGGAATAAAACTATTTTTATTAAGAGAGAAGCTTATTAAAATTTTTGGAAATGAATTCGTTAAGAGTTTCATCAAAACTTCATATTTGATGTTTATTTTAAGCATTACTTAAACCAGAGGACTACCTTTTCATTTGTGAATCCTTGGATTATTTATATTTGTTCTTGTCTAACGGGTTAAATTTTGGATATCCAGTGGTGGCAACTTATTGCAGGGATAGCTAAAATTAAATAATTTAACGCATTATCCTGAAATTTAAATGCCATTTTACATAAAATTATTGACCTCTGGATACTTTTTCGTTAAGCCTGAAATCACAGACAATACCTTAATTAAAGATTTTAAAAAAAAATTAATGGCAGAAATATTACTGTTTTTGGATCAAAATTCTTTTAAACCTGCAGTTATAAACTCAAAACCAATAGTGGCTGACTTTCTAAGTTATGTCGAGTGGTCATGTGGGTCATTTAAAAAAAAAGCTTTTTGTGAGCAAGAATGAAATATTAAAACTAGATTAACAAAATTTGAAAGTTTAATTTATTTTGGTTATTTTGGAGAAGAATTTCCAGTATTTTTAAGGCTTTAATTTTATTTAGGTATGTGGACAGATTACAGGTCGACCTTCATGTAAGAACAGATTGTATGGCAGAGGACTATCAGAAATTTAAATATATAAGGTGAGAAAAATACAAACAAAAACTTAAAGTTGGTTACCGTTACCTTAAAATTTGTATTAAATTAGTTTTTTTCTTTAGTGTACTTGACTCTCAATGTGATACTGAAGTTGCACAGATATCTGATTATGTAAGAAGGAAAGAAGAGCAAGAGCTTAAAGTTATCAATGCAGCAGTGACCGCACATAATCAGAGGTTGACTGGGGGAGTAAATCATGTTGAAGAACCTTCATACAACCTTCCAGCAGAATGTGAAGCAGAGAGGTTACAGATTAGCAAAGAATTTCCACTTTCATCAAACAAAGATGCTGATAAAGAAGCCTCCAGCATGAGGGCTAGTGCAGATAATAATATTGATGATGATGATGACATTATTATCCTGACTCCTGAAGAGTACGGTAGAACATCAAAACCCAGGTCAAGTCCTGATGATGAACTGGATAGGCAGGGGTTCACACTCTCCAGGGTTGAGAAGATTAAGATAGGATTAGACATTTATCCTTTGTTTAACCAAACTACTCAGGATATACAAGGATTCAAAGAGATTGCTGTGATACTCGAGAACAAAATCTTCTATGGTGGTGGGGAAACTAAGATGAAGGCGAGGGAAGATCTACTGAAAAATGTAAATGAAGGAAAAGAAGGTCAAAGAACAAACATTTTGACAGAAGGGGTAGATGTAAGTGAAAAGGTTTTAATGAATCCCGATGATTACTGCTCTAAGCTTGAAAAAATGAAAGGAAACAAAAAATATCTGAAAGGATTGATCGAAAGAGAAAAGTTCATTGAAGATAAATATAAGCTAAACTTGAATGGATCCATGTATACCCAGTATAGCAAGTATCTTGGATCTGAACAGGGTTATGCTCTTCTTGTAATAGATGGAACTAGATTAGTATCTGGACAAGGGAGGACACTGAAAGAATGTAGAAGACAAATAATAAACAAGTGGAAGGATGTTGTACCTGCTGGAGAAATATGTTTGGACTTGCAACCTAGGGATCCAAGGTTTCTCAAGCTAATGTCCAGCCTTAATTACAAGCGTATGCCTGAAGAAGGTTTTCATTTTGGAGGGGAACGAATTTCATTATGGGGACAATTCTCTGAGCAAAGTTTTAATCTCTCTGGAATTGTTCAAAAAAGGTTATATTTTGCGACAGGATCAACGAAAGAAGATGCTATTGGCAATATTGTGGATAAGATATTAGCTAAAAAGTCTTCAGATATTTATTTAGAGCTGGAAAGACATGATATTAACAACAGAGAGGAAGTAAAAGAATCAGAAATTAAAAAGAAACCTGAGCTTTCTGTTGAAGAAAAATTGACAGCTGATGGATTTCATTTAAAGAATGGGGAAAATGTAGAGCTTGAAGCCAGTACGTATCCAGTTTGGTATAATGGGAACCATATTGCTGTTGTGATAAATGATATTCCCTATTATGGAACTGGCAGATCTGTGAAGGAATGCCGCGCAGCAGTTGTCTGGAGCTACCTGACTACACGAGTAGGAAGGATCTGCGGAGAAGAAGAAAAGAGTCCTAACGTGTCTGTAGTTATGAAAAATTTAGAACAAATAAAAAATCTAGGTCGAGAAAAAGGTCCTGAGCAGTACTTAGTTCAATTAGGGTTCAGAATATCTCAATATTTTGTTCTTGTTGATCAAATAAAATACATTTTATGGGTACCCAGGCAGACGAAAGATATCATAATTAGTATTGCTACTGTTTGCCAGTCCATGCCCTTGATAGTTAAATACAAATCAAGGGTAGGAGCAGAGGAGAAACTTAAAGCTTTGATTAGTTTAAAGCATTTTCTTAATCCTGAAATGAAACCAGGCAAATATGAGAACCTACAGGACAAAGCTGAGGTTAGGGAACCTCGTTCTGAAGAACATAAAACTTCTGGAGGAGGGAAACCTGGAGTACGGTATCATGGTGTTGGTCAGTTCCTATCTCAGCTCAAAGCAACAATAGATTCAGATCCTGAGTTTATAACCTCCAATATCGTCAAATTAGATGAGTCTCAGCCTCCTCCCCTCTCTGAAGCCTCAAATGTGGATGAATGTAAAGATGTGAATGAAGTTATTGCTGAACTACTGGGAGAGGGTATTCCTAAAAATTGCAAGAGAAAACAGGGAAAACGCAAGAACAGATCCGTTGTTAAACATATTGAAAATATTGAGCCGTGTAGCAGGGTAAGCTTAAACACTTTAGCACAGATTGAGAAGGGTCTAGAAGAGAAGGGTCTAGAAGAGAAGGGTCTAGAAGAGAAGGGACTAGAAGAGAAGGGTCTAGAAGAGGGTGAGATTCAAGTAACAGAAATGAAGGATGATTCTGAAAAGGTAGAGGTTTTATTTAAATATATGAATAGATGTATCATATTTGCCACAAAAAAGAATCGAGTCTTTTCTAATCCATAATTCCAACCTGATAGTATAAACTTTTGATATTTCAAACTTAAATCTAACAGAATTCATGGTTTAATATATCTCTAAGGTCAACGACATTGTGTTACAAAGATATAGTGATTAGAAAATCTGAGTTTGTGGCAAAGACTCAATTCCTGCCTTGAAATGGTAGTTTTAAAATATCATTTTATGCTTTCGTTTCATTATGGTCTTCAATTCATATTATTTTATTCATTTTTAGATTATTGATAAAGAAGCATTGATGAACCGAAGACTTAAATTTGTACAAGAAAATCATCCTAACCTGACTAAACCTAATCAGTCCTCTCCGAACTGGTTTCAACAACTCCAGTTAAATCTTCAGCGGCATAAATACGGGTCGTCTTCGCTTTTGTCCCTACCAGCCAACTCCAGTTCTCAAACTGAGTTAACAGAAGACCAATTCCAGTACAAACTTGATCAAATGATTACAAGTGAGAGTAGTGAGTCAAATGTTGATGAAAAACCCGTACCAGAAAAAACTACTGAAGAAGGTTCCAACAAGAATTTGACTTCTCAATTGTTTAAAGTGTTGAACAGAAGTCCGACGGAGAAAGATATTTCTTTATTGAAAGGTATAATTGGTGAGAGGTTCCAGATTGAGGGAGGAAAAAATGATTGGTTTAAATCCACTCAAACTAAACCTGAAGTTTACGGTATCGCCAACCAGGTCATAGGATACAGACGAAGTAAGGAAGAGAGAAGATCGGAAGAAATGGAAGTAGGAAAAGTGTTGTTAAGGAAGAGAAAGATGAATCTAAACGCAGTCAGTCTTAGGAAGATGAAGGAGAAGAAGGATTTGTTCAAGATGAAACTACTGATCATTACTGACAGGATGAAAAGCAAAGGTCTTCCACTAACTCCGGCCACCCAGGCTAAATTTGATCAAGTTTTCAAAAATAAACCGAAAGTTGAAAGCATGATTAGAAAGAAGATTATTGATCAGAAAGAAGAGAAGAAGAAGATTAAATCAAGGCAAAAGAAGAAAAGACAACGGGCCAGGAAAGCTGAACTGATGTTAAAAGAAATTAACTCTTTGACGGAGAAAAGCAAAGAAAAGGAGAACTGGCAGAACAAAAAGTCAGTCAGAATGAAAATAGAGACCAGGGATTCTAACAAATTAGAATTTGAACAACCAGACAGTCTGGAACACAGTTCATACGAAGAAAGGTTAAAATTTTATATTCTCATTAAATATTTAAAGGTTAGTCAAAAATAGGGCATTTCTCGTTGAATTGTGGAATTACTTCTAATTTGATTCTTAATACTCAAATTTAAAAGTTTCACTTCAAATGACACAGGGAATATATTTATATACCGATAATTTTTTTTTTTTTTTTTGAAACAAGAGGATAAATTTATATCTACGAAGCAAATCATTGTCATACAACTTAAAAACAAGTTGTTTTTATGCATTTTATTTTAGGAATGAAAAAAAGTTCACCTGTACTGAGTGTGGAACAAGTTTCTCCAAACAGAAGATTCTAAACATACACAAACAAATTCATGCAGAGATCTAACCGTGAATCTATACAAGATATATAATTTTTTTTATTTTCATAATTTACATCTTGATATTTCAGATAAAAAAGAATCTTTTTACGCTTGAGTCCTTAAACATTAAACCAGGTAAATATAACTTAACTAGCCTTATCTTCTATATTCATATTCATAAACCTTCCCTGGGGTCCCTAGATGTCCCACAAAAAATTTGGGCCCGATCGGTTCAGCCGTTTGACGTTTATTGGATACAAACAAACAAACAGACGGACAAGCCAAATTTATACATGGACTAGCCATCTTCTAAATTAATTGTGAACATGTTCTCTTTGTGTACATCGTAAAACTAAACAAAAATAATTCGCGGATTTTCACAAAAAATTTCGTGGATTTTCAAAATTTTCAAAAATTCAATGAAGATCGAATTGTGATGGAGACAAATATTTGAAATTTTGATCATTCATAAACTTTCCCTGTGGTCACGTTATGTCCCACAAAAAAATTGGGCCCGATCGGTTCAGCCGTTTTGACGTTTATTGGATACAAACAAACAAACAGACAGACAAGCTAAATTTATATATAGATGAAACTATTGTGTACTTTACCATTCTTCCTCACTTCATCGTGAATTTCATATTTAACGAGCTATAAAGTAATCATCGTGCTATAAAACTAAATTAGCTGTACATTAAAGCACATGTACGATAAAGTAATTATCGTGCTATAAAGTTAAATGAGCTGTATACATTAAAGCACGTGTGCTATAAGTATTGATTGGTTCCCGGATTTTCTCCAAAAAATTTAAGATATTTCCAAAATATTTTTTTCAATTGAAATGACAATAACATTTAAATCAACTTATTTTATCTTATCCTTTGTTTCAAAGCTTATTTGATCTAGAAACAGTCATTGAAATAAGACAAGTACACAAACGTTTCATAAAATTACCTATAACACTATTGTTTTGGAACGACGTGCTATAAAGTTTTTTTACTTAAATTTTCTCTATATCTCAAAGGTTCTCGCCTTTTTAGATTATATTTTGTCCCTCGCTAAAGCTCGTGACAAAATTAAACCTAAAAAGGCTTGTGACCAAAATGACAGTGTTATAAATAGTTATTATTAGAATGGCAGCTCGTGAAACAGTTGTGGAACCCCTTCCTCCTCCTTTAATATCACAGGAGGAACTTCTAGAAATAGGAAGGTGTCAATAATTAAGTATTTTAGGGGGTCAGGGGGGGTGACTGGTTTTTTGTTAAAATACTCCTATAGAAATGCATTTGTCTTTGATACAAAATGTATCAAAGTGTTCAGTGTTTTCACCTATTTCAAAATTTACAATATTGCCAGATTTTTAATGTAGAATTACACTTAAGTCTATCTTGCCTCTCAGAGGGGTTCACTAACGCCAAATGTCTTGTATGAAAATTCTAAAGAATTACATGCACTTTAAAAAGGGTAAACAATCGCTTAAAAAATTCTTTTTAAGGGATTTGATTTTGCAGGGATTTAGTCCGGGGGTGGGGGTGATCCCCCTTAAAAAGCCTAAAAATTGAAGAAATCCCCAAAATTAAGACTTATTTGGTATTTTCCACCACCAGGAAAGGGTATGGAGGTGTGCCTGGTGAAGGTTCCAAAAAGTTTAGATATCAACAAGGTTTTCAACATAGACATTTCTAACAGGTAAACTCGGTCAAAAAACTTTTTAAAAGGAATTAAATATTTTTATCAAAAAAGCAAAATTAATAATTCACAAAAGCATTAAGGGACTTGAACAAGAAAGTGAGTTCTTCGGCATGTATATATTGTATAGCATAAACAAAAATAGTTTCTCACGAATGTATGTTTTTAAGAAACTTTTAAAAATTCAAGGGTAGCCACGGGCAGCCATAGAACATTTAAATTTCCGAGCCGGGTCCCAGTTTGTACTGTATCGCCCAACAATTGGGTAAATAAAGCAGACACTCAATAATTTACAATTCTTTTTGGTAATACTTTCAGCTTTAAAATATTACTTTACCTCAAACTTCTTAGTACATTATAAATAAACCTTTCAAATGGGAATGGGAACTTTGGTTCCAGATCATAATTTAATTCAAGAAATCAATGAACAATTTTTTGAAAAATCGAGGAAAATTTTTTGGCGCATTTTTGATGCGGCCAGACTCTAGATTGACACTAGGTTGACTCTAGGTTGAATTTACTTTTACAAGAGGGTCAGGGATGCGTGTAACTTTACATTACTAGGGTTAAGTTGTTAAGTGTACTAGATCTAAGAACAGCCACCCTAAAAGTTTCTTGTGTCGTACGTTAACAATCTCTTTAATCTCGGTATTTTTAGTTTTAGTTGTGAATCCGTCCCCTACACAACCACTGTACAAGAAGGTAAATGTTTCAATACAAAAACTTGTTTTATAATAATTTTTATAAAATGAAATAAAATGAAAATGCTCGCCATGAATGAATTTGAAATTGAGACGATACGCCCCCGTTTGTTATATTTTACTAGATGTAATATATCAAATATCACTCGACAAAAATATTTATTTTGAAAAATTTAAGAACTACGCTTTAATAGAATTATAATTTTATCAGACAAAAACTGGATATTTTTTATTTCAATGAATTCAGGACGAATCTTTTGTATTCCGACTCATTAAGTTAATCAGATCCCTGAAGTTGGATAGAGCAGCAGGGGTGGATAATGTCTCATCAGCTATGCTAAAAGGGGCTAGTCCCACAATGATAACATTGATAACAGGTATTATAAATGAGTCCCTAATGGAGGGAAAGGTGCCTGGGGCATTGCAAACAGGGAAAATGACTCTGATTGACAAAAAGGAGCCATCTCTAGAGGTGTCAAAGAAACGTCCGATAACAGTATCAAGTGTAATGTTAAGTATAATAACTAAAATCATTCACAAACGCATGAATAAGATATGTGAACGAGAAGGCTTCTATGGTTCGGTTCAATATGGATTCAGGCAGAAACGTTCCACAACAGACTGCGTGTTAATGATTTTGGCTGCGCTAAGAGTGGCCAAGAGGAAGAAACAATGTATCTCTCTGGCTTTCTGCGATATTGCAAAAGCCTATGACTCTGTGTGCAGGGAATTGTTGTACACTAAACTACGCCACATAGGGTTTGGTGGACGAGTGGTTTCTTTGATCCGGTCCATGTATTATAATGATTGTGTGAGGGTCAATTTGAGTCATGGGCTCTCGGACCCAGTGTACTTCACGCAAGGAGTGAAGCAGGGTTGTAGCCTGTCACCCATGCTTTTTGCTTTGTTCATTGCTTCATTAGGGGTTGCGCTTGACCGTACAAAGTTGGGGGTGGAGTTAGGAAGAACAGTCCTTACAGCTTTGTTTTTTGCTGATGACCTGTTGCTACTGTCAAGGACCCCTAAGCACGGAATGAATTCGCTATTGAGAATTGTGTCACAGTTCTGCAAGGACATGAAAATGACTCTCTCAACATCTAAGACATATATTCTGACAAA